GTGTGCGTGTGCGTGTGCGTGTGCGTGTGCGTGTGCGTGTGCGTGTGCGTGGCGTGTGCTGTGTGCGTGTGCGTGTGCGTGGTGCGTGTGCGTCTTGCGTGTGGTTGTGTGTGTGGTGTGTGTGTGCGTGTGCGTGTGCGTGTGCGTGTCGTGTGCGTGTGCGTGTGCGTGTGCGTGTGCGTGTGTGTGCGTGTGCGTGTGCGTGTGGCGTGTGCGTGTGCGTGTGCGTGTGCGTGTGCGTGTGCGTGTGCGTGTGCGTGTGCGTGTGCGTGTGCGTGTGCGTGTGCGTGTGCGTGTGCGTGTGCGTGTGCGTGTGCGTGTGCGTGTGCGTGTGCGTGTGCGTGTGCGTGTGCGTGTGCGTGTGCGTGTGCGTGTGCGTGTGCGTGTGCGTGTGTGTGTGTGTGCGTGTGTGTGTGTGTGTGCGTGCGTGCGTGTGTGTGTGTGTGTGCTTGTGTTTGCGTGCATGCGTGCGATGCGTGTGTGCGTGCGCGCGTGCGTGTGCGTACTTGCGCGCGTGCGTCCGTGCGTGCATGCGCACGTGTGTGCGTGGGCCTGCGCGCGCGCGCGCGTGCGTGCGCGCGCGTGCGCCCCTGCCGTCCGTAGCCATTTTGGCTCAAGCCATTTTGGCTCAAGCCACTCTGGCTCAAGCCAGCTGGGCAGGAACAAGCGGCCCGCCCCGGCGCCTGGGCCCGCGCGTAGGGAAATCCGCGCGCGCGGCCTGTGCCGGATGCCGGGCGGCCGCGGCGGCGGCGGCGGCGGTCGCTCGCAGGCTGCTGGCAGGGCAGATCTGGCGGTGCTCCCAGGGCCACGGGAGCCACGCTGGGGGTCTGGGCACGCCGCTTGCGCTGCCAGCGCTGCGGCAAGCCAGCGCCGCAGCGGATCGCGAATGCCGCCCGGGCGACAGCCAAGCGGCAGCCACGCCTGCAGGACACGCCGAAGCCAGGCGCGCCTGGGCATCGTCGCCAGCGCGGAGGTGGTGGCCAGGAGCATGGCGCGGACTCCTATGCGGCCGTGGTGCAGCGCATGCTGCCGTCGCCCCCGGGGGCTGCGGTGCCGCCTGGCGACGCGCCGATGCCGCCCGCTGGGACTGGCGCTCCGCAGGGCACTTCGGAGCCCGAGTTGAGCCCTGCGCAGAGGGAGCTCCGATACTGGCGCGACCGGCGCACGGCTGCCCAACGCTTTGGGGCGGCGGCGGACGTGGCCGAGTGCGAGCGGCAGATCCAAGCTCTGGAGCAAGCAGCCCAGGCATCGCGTCCTGGGGCTGTCCGCGTCCAGGCCGCCACGGACTCCCAGAGGGCAGCGGCAGCCAAGGTCAAGTCGATCGGGGGGGACTTGATGGCGGCACGCCGTGCTGCGATGCACTTCGAGGCCGAGGCGGCCAAGGCGCAGGAGGCATTGCGCCAGGCCGATGCGGCGCTGACGGCGGTGCAAACGGAGGCAGCCCCTGCCCGCGCGCCGCCGGCTGCCGAGCTCACCGAGGCCGGGGTCGCCGCGGCCGCCTTCGACACCCTCAGCGCCACCACATCGGCGCTGCAGCGGCGTGGAGGAGGCGCCGGGGGCGGCGCCAGCGACGCCGCGGCGCTCGCCGCGCAGCTCCGCGAGCTGGTCGTTGCGGCCGCGCGCGGGGCCGGTGCGGAGGCCCCTGCCGCTGGTGCGGCGGCGGCCGTGGGAGGTCCCGTCGCCTCCGTGCGCGCCGCTGCCCCTGGCGCTGGAGGCGCCCGGGGCGCCGGGGCCCCCGCAGCTCCTGGCGCTGCGCCGCCAGGGAACGGCGCCGCCGGCGCTGCGCAGCCAGGGGCCGCCGGCGCAGCGTCGCCAGGAGGCCCGGGTGCAGGGGCCGGCGGAGCGCCGCCAGGGGACGGAGCCAGCGGCGCCGCGGAACACGGGGCCGCCCAGAGAACGTGGCGCGAGGTGGCCGCCGCCCACCACGCGGCAGAGGCCAGGCGGCAGGTCACGCTCGGGCAGTGCCTGGGCCGCCCGCGCGCCTCGCCCACGCCGCCATCACCAGACAGGCGAGGCCGCTCGCGGAGCGTCGAGAGGGGCGCGGCGGCTGGCACCTGAGCGCAGCCTGCTCCAGGGAGGTGGGAGGAGGGAGGGGGGAGAAGGAATGGAGGGTTTCCTCGCCCCCTCTCTTCCTCGACCCCCCCCTGGAGCAATGCGACGGCCCGATGGCGCGGGCGGCCGTGGCGGGGCTGCCGCGTGGGCGAGGCCGCGCACCCCGGGCCAGCACTGCAGCGGCGGGCGCCGCGCCGCCTGCCGCGCCCCCGTTGCCGCCGCCGCGGGGCACGCCTCGCACGAGGTTGCCGGGCAACGCCCGCGGCAACCGCCCTGCCGGGGCCACTGGGCAGCGGCCTGACGGGCGTGGCACGGGCCAAGGTGCAGCCAGGAACGCAGTTGCGGCCCCCTGGCGGCCTTGAGTGGGCCGAGTGCGGGGGGATTCAGACCCCTGTCGTCGCAGCTCTCGGCCCCACCCCGGCATGCCGAGAGGCACGCGGCGGCTGGCGCCAGAGCGCAGCTCGCTCCAGGGAGGGGGGCGGGGGGAGGAACGTGGAGGAATGGAGGGATCCCCTGTCCTCCCCCTCCTCGCCCCCCCCCCGGGGCAATGCGACGGCCCGATGGCGCGGGTGGCCGTGGCGAGGCGTCCGCGCGGGCGAGGCGTCGCAGCCCGGGCCGTCGGCCCAGCAGCAGCCGCGGCTGACCGCCACGGTGCTCGCGGCGAACGTCACCCGCTGGAGCGCGAGCTGGCGCGGGCTGCTCGCCGCTGGGGCTGAAGCGCGGCGCGCGCAGGAGGCGCGCATCCCTGCTGCCGGCACGGAGGCTGCGGTTGCCGAGGCCCGGGGGCGAGGCATGCATCTGCATGTGGGGCCGTGCAGCTGCGGCACGTCCTTGCTGGCCGCGGCAAGTCGGCCATGGTGTGTGCGCGGCTCGCGGAGCCGAGCAGGTGGGCGCGTTTGGCAGGCATCCTGGGCGTTTGCAGCATTTCGCTATGCATTTTGGCGGTGCGAGGGCAGTTCATGTCATGAATTGCTATGGGTACGCGGGTGGCCGGCCAGACTCCGAGCGGAACGCGGACCTCATACTGGAGGGCTTGGAGTGGCTCCGTGGCCTCGGGGGCGTCCCAGCCTTCATGGTTGGAGACTTCAACTGCAGCCTGTCGGAGGTCGGGCTCGACGCGCTGCTCGGCCTGGCCGGCTGGAGGGACTTGCTGGCCGCGCTCGGGCCCACTTGCGCCCCTTCCAGTGGCAGCCCCTCGCGGATCGACTACGTGCTGGCGAGCCCCGCCGCGCTGGACATGGTCCGCTCGGTCGGCCTGCGATGCACGCGGCCCTGCTCGTCGAGCTGCGCGTGCAGGCTCCAGCACTTGCGAGACTTCGCCAACCAGTGCTGGCGTTGGACGGGCCGGCTGGTGAGGGCTGGTCACCAGCAACCGCCCGGGACGCCACGGCCGCAGTCCCGGGGCGCTTCGAGCGGGATTTCCGGCGGGCACTTGCGGAGCACAACCTGGACGAGGCTTGGCAACAGCTCGACGGGGCGATGCGTCTCTGGCTCGCGCGGCGCATGGGCCTGGCGGTCACTCCAGCGCGCCCCCATGCAGCCTCGGCCATGCGCGCCGAGCGCCCCCCCACCTCGGGCGGGGGAGGGGAGGCCGCCGAAGCTGCTGCGGACGCGGCGCTGCTGCGACCCCGGCGTCTCCGCAACCTTCGGATGACGCTGGGGCGCACTACTGTTTCCGCCCGGCAGGCTTCGGCGGCAACCATCCAGGCGCTCCGTTCGGCTGATGCCGCTTGCCCGGATTGGGCCCCGGCGATGGCGGCGCTGCAGCTGGGCGCCCTGGTCTCTGAGGCGATGGCGGTGCGCGCCGAGGCGGCCAGCTGGCGCGCGCGGCGGCGCGATCGCGCCGGCAGGCCGAATGGCACCGCCGGGTGGCGGATTCGCTTGAGGACCGCCAGGGGCGGCTGTATCGCTGGATTCGCGGCGGCGGCAACATGGGCGCTGAGCTCGTGCCTGCTGGTGGGTCTGGCGGGGAAGCTCCTGGCAGCCGCCCGCGGTTGCTCGCCTTGCAGGGCGGCCCTGCGGCGCGCCTGCGGCGCTACGAGGGGCCGCGGAAGGCGATCTGGCAGGCTCCGCCCGCCCCTCCAGTCGCGGAGGAGTGGCTGCAGGAGCTCGATGGCCCCCCGCCATTCCCGGACCGGACCCCCTGGACAGCAGGGATGGTCGGCTGGCTGCTGCGGCGAATGTCAAAGCGGAAGAAGCCAGGGCTGGACGCTTGGGCTGTCGGCGAGCTCCGGCTGCTGCCTGCCGAGCTGCACGGGTGGATCGCCGACCTGTTCGAGGAGGTGGAGGCCCGCGGCGAGCGGCCGCGCGAGCTCGCCGAAGCGGAGGGCCTGCTGCTCCCGAAGCCTGGTGGCGGCCAAGGCCCGCTGGAGCGCCGGCCGATCTGGCTCCTCCCGATTCTTCATCGGCTTTGGGCGGCAGGGCGTGCCCGTCTCTTCGCGCAGTGGCGCTGCTCTCGGGAGGGGGATTCCTGGCGGCGCGGCGCAGAGGAGCAGGCATGGGAGCTAGCCTTGGAGCTCGAGGCCGCCGATGCCCTGCCCGAGGAGGTCGTCGGTGCAGCCCTCGACTGGAGCAAAGCGTACGACCAGGTGGACTTGGGGACGCTCCCGGTTCTGCCGGCGCGGGCGGGGGCCCCGCCGTGGCTCGCCCGCCCAGCCCTGCGCGCCTACGGAGCCCGCCGCCGGGTGCGCGTCGACAGCGCCATCGGGGAGCCCTGGGCGCCTTCGCGCGGCCTGCTGCCAGGTTGTCCGCTCGCCGCGTTCGTGCTGGGGGTGCTGACCCGGCCTTGGGCTCGCCGCGCCGCGAGGTTGGGCGACCTGCTTCGCTTGCGGGTGTATGTCGACGACTTCACCCCGTGGGCCCGCGTGGCCGCCGACCGCGCTGACGAGGCGGCGGAGGAGCTCGAGCAGGCGCTGCGGACGACAGACGCCTTCGAGACGGCAATGGGGCGGAGGCTCAACCGGACGAAAAGCCGCCAATACGCAAGCCGCCAGGCGTTGCGACAGTGGCTGCAGGAGAAGTCCCCAGGCATCCAGGCGCGCGCGGATTTCAAGGACCTTGGGGTCATCGCGACTGCCGGCAGGGCGCGCCGCTGCGCCGTCTCCGCCGGCCGGCTGGTCGTCGCGCAGGGCCGATTTGCCAGACTCGGCCGGCTGCCCGTCAGTTTTCGCCAGCGCTGCGTGCTGGGCGCCGCCGCGGGCACTGCTGCGGGCCTTTGCGGCGCGGCCTGCGGACGCCCCCCGGCGCGCGAGTTGGCCGGGCTTCGCGCCGCCGCACGGCGTGCCGCCTGCCGGGGCGGGTTCCGGGCGGCTGCGGAGATCGTGTTCGGCGTCTTGGCACCGACCTGGCGGCTGGACCCGGCGGCGGTGACGATCATCGCGCCGCTGTGGCAGGTCGTCAAAGCCATGCGGAAGCGCCGATTCCCAGCGGAGCTCTGGAGGCGAGCCGCTGGCGCCATGGCCGCGGGGCACGGCCGCGGCTTTGGCCCAGTGGACGCGGCGATCCGGAGCTTGGCGGAGTTGCAGTTGGGGGCCGATGTCGAGTGCTGGACTGGTGTGGCCACCTCGCCTGGCGGCTGGCGCCCGGCCGACCGCGCCCTGCCCGACACGCGCGCGGTTCTCCTCCGTGCTTGGGCAGCCCGCGAGGCCCGTGAGGTGGCAGGGCGGCGCGCCAGCTTTCGACACCTAGACACTGGAATCGACAGGTGGGCAACCAGGCGGCTCCTCGAAGGCGGGGAGCTGGCGGCCGACGCCGCGGGGGCCCTCCGCGCCGTGCTCACTGGAAACGTCGTCACGGAAGCGGTGGCGGCGAAATGGGGGCGCCCTGCGGCATGCCCGCACTGCGGCGCGGCGTGCGACGACTTCGAGCACCGCTTCTGGGCTTGTCCCTGCTGGGAACCCGCGCGCGCCGCCGCGCTGGTCCCCGAGGGCTTTGCCCGCGCCGAGGCGCGCGCGCGGCTGCCGGCCCAGACGTCGCTCACCGGGGTGTTGCCCCAGCACCCGCAGCTGGCTGCGCTGGCGGACCAGGCGCACTGGCCGCTGCCGCGCCCAGCCCTGCAGGCCCGCGCTGCTGAGCCACCCCGGGCGCGCGCTTGGACGGACGGTGGCTGCGTGCACCCCACCGACCCCCTCCTCGCTAGGGCAGGGTGGGGGGTGGTGCTGGACCAGGGCGCTGGCCGTCAGGAGCACCGCGGGCCTGTCGACGGCACGCAGACCGCGCAGCGCGCCGAGCTCACGGCAGCGGTGCATGCCGTCAGCCTGGCAGGCGGCGCCGTCGAGATAGTGACCGATTCTCGCTTCGTCAGCAACGGCGTCGCGGCGATCAAGGCCGGGGCGTCCACCGAGGATTGGGCCCGCGCAGACCTGTGGGGGTTGATCGTTCCTCACTGCCGCAGCGACGCGCTAGCCGCGCGATGGATTAAGGGGCACCTTGACGCCGCGGAGGCCCAGGCACGAGGTGTGTCGCCAGAGGACGGCTCCGGCAACGCCGCGGCCGACCGCCTCGCCGGGGTGGCAGCCGAGGCCCGGCTGCCTCCGCTGGCGCTGCGCCAGGGGCGCGAGCTGCAGCTGATCGCGCTCATGGCCGTGCAGCGCGTTCTCGCCGCGGTGGAGCTCGCGGCGCTCAAGGCCAACCACGGGCATGGCCCTGGAGGCCCGCGCGTGCGGCGGCGCTGGACGCAGGCGGGGCATCGCCGCCGCCGCGTGCCCCGCGTGGCGATCGACGCCGCGGTTGCGGCCGCGGTGGCCCCAGAGGCGGAGCAGGGACAGGCGCGCGCGGCGCCAGGCCCAGGGGCGGCCGCCGCGGCGAGGGCGCTGTTCGCCTGCAGCGCTTGGCGGGGACACGTCGCCTCCCAGGGGCCCGCTTGGGTGGCCTGCATGGCGTGCGGGTGCTGGGCCCCGCGCTGGGAGCGCCTCGCGGGCCGCCCGTGCAGCGGATGGGCGCCGCACCTGCCCCCGCGGGCGGCCGGCCTGCTGCTCCTGGATGCCCCGCGCGCCGGGGGCCGCGAGGTGGCGTGGCGGGCGGCTGTGCGACGGCGCCTGCTGGAGCGCCCGGGCGCGCCAGACTAATTAGTTAATTAGTTGCGCGGCGGCCGCTTTGGGCTGCCGCTGGCCCCTCGCGCTCGCCGGGGCGCGCTGCTGTGCTTTCTTGTTTCCCCGCCTCCTCCTCCTCCTCCTCCTCCTCCTCCTCCTCCTCCTCCTCCTCCTCCTCCTCCTCCTCCTCCTCCTCCTCCTCCTCCTCCTCCTCCTCCTCCTTCCTCGTTTCCGGCTTCTCTGCGCTCTGTTGTCACCCGTTCTCGCCGCTGGGCCCCCCTACGGATGGTAGTGTGCGTCCCTGCCTGCGTGCGTGCGTGCGTGCGTGCGTGCGTGCGCGCGCGCGCGTGCGTGCGTGCGTGCGTGCGTGCGTGCGTGCGTGCGTTTTTCATCCGCCAGCGCAATCGCTCTGCCTAGCCGCCGACGCAAAAAAATACAGCCTAGAAAGGGAGGAAACGGCGTGGGCTCGCTTGCAAACGTGGTTCAGGTCCTGGCGCGGGGGGGAATTGGGCGCGCACGAAAAGGAAACGGAAGGCAGGCAAAGGATGCGGAGCTGCATGGTGCGACCAGATGATCGGCGCGAGAGAATGTGTGGCTGGCCCGCGGACGTGCTGGGCTAGTGCGGAGGAGAAAGGGACGATCCGTGGCAGCGGCCTTCACGGGAGGCAGAGGCACACCCGTCCCCCACCGCACAGCAATACTGAGGACTGCTGAGGAAGAGAAGGGAAGCTGTGGCGGGAGCCTTGACGGGATGCGGCGGGGCGCCTGTCCCCAGGGGAGGAGAGAAGGAGCCGTGGCGGCAGCCTTGACGGGATGCAGCGGGAGGAGGTGTCGGGCTATGGCGGAGGCCTTGGCGGGGTGAGCGCAGAGGCAGAGCACTCAGAGGAGTGCTGAGGAAGTGCCGCCAGAACGGCGTCGCAGTGGGTGCGGGCGAGGGCCGCGGCTCCCACGGCGGCGGCAAAGGGGCATCGCTTCGGCGTCAGGAGGGCCGCTGGCGAGGCTGGGTGCGGCATGCCGAAGCCCACCCACATTTGGCGACCCGCTGGAGCGCAAGGGCGCACTAGCTGCCACACGTGCCCCCCCCCCCCCAAAAAAAAAACACAAAAAAAGTGAGGGTGAGGCAAGCCGCCGCGGCAGCGCGCTGCGGCTGGAGCTCTGCGCCAGATGCTGGCGCTCGAGGCGCTGCTAAGAAAAAGTTGTGAGTCACTCCCTCCTTTCCCCCTCCTCCCTCCTTCTGCCTGCATGGGCGGCCAGCACGCGTACGAGCGCTGCGCCCGCCTCCATGGAGCGCGCAGGCCCGTGGGGCAAAGCCCTCCGATCTGATTTTCGTCCATCCGCAGCCGCAGAGCTCCGACCCTTTTCGGAGACCTGTCCTTTTGTCCGCGATCTATGCTTGATGGTCCCAGGGCCCGAGAGCAGCCCTGGGAGCCCAAATGAGGGGAGGACGCCGAGATTCCTCCCGTGCGCGGGCCCCCAGGGAGGGGGTGTGGGAGCGGGGCCAAGCACCGCGCTAAGCAGCCCGCGGCTAGGCCTCCGAAGGCACGTATGCTCGTGCTGCCGTCTGGCTCTCCGGATGTGCTGCAGCTGAACGTCGGGCAGGCCCGCCAGCAGGCTGGCCTCAGCCTTTGGCTACACACGCAAGAGCAACCCTGCGCAGGGCCCTTGCGTCATTTTTGCCCTCTGGAGGTCGGCCTCGGGCTTCAAGGCCGTCAAAACACTACTCGGGATGAAAAAGGGGCCCTGGGGAAGGAGTCCAGAGGTCCCGGGGGCCCACGCATCGAAAAAATCGAAGCGCCAGATGTATGGCGTTGGTGCGCGGCGTGCCCATCGCTGCATGAGATGCGACAGTGGCAGCCTGCGGGCCTGCGCGCTGGAAGTGTGCACCCCCCCCCTGCGCCCCTTGGAAAGCCGCGCACCAGGAAGTCACTCCGGCAAGGGGTCACTCAGCTCTGGCGACCGCTCGGAGCGATCCGGGCACCCCTAAAACGCTCTCGGCGAGGCGCCGCGGCTGCAACGCAGGAAAACCCACAGGAGCCCACGAAACTTTCCGAAAACGCTCCGCCGAACGGCCACGCGCACCAGAGGTCACACTTCTTGCGTGTGGCCGCAGGCCTGCCCAGTGCGCTCGCCGCGCTCCGCCGACGCGCCCCTCAGCACCACCGAGGCCTCGGCGTACTGCTCGCCCCCGGGGTTGTGCGAGGCGACTCCCGTCCCTGCCGGCTGCGCGCCGAAGGGGGGGGGGGGGCAGGGCCAGGGCGACTGCCCTCTGAGGACGGAGGCGTAAGACGAAGCCAGGACGGGGACAGAATCGAACCGGGATAAACCAGGGATGTCTGAGACCCAGCGGTTCTGGAGGTTGCATCGGACGCCGCGGCCGTTCCACGTTCCAGAGCGGTCCACAAAACGCTCTGGAGCGCTTTATCCCGGTCCTGGGCCCGCCTGAAGTTGGCTTCCAAGAAAGATCTCGGGCGACGCCAACCGTGCATCGGACCAGTTCCATACCCACTTCCGCGCGTGCTGGCGCGCGCGGCAGCGCACATCTAGAAGACGAAGAGGAAGAAGCCGAAGAAGAAGAAGAAGGAATGTACTAATAAGAACAGTATTAATAATACGACTAGAAAGACGAAGAAGACGAAGAAGACGAATAAGAGGAAACATAAGAAATAATAAGAAGAGGCGTAACGAGAAGAAATAGAAGGCAAAGAAGAAGAAGAGGATGGACAATATGAATAATCGTTATAAAGACAATGACACCCTTGCGACAGAAGACCCTAATCGAGCCTTGCACAGTTCATGATGGGGGTCACCATGGGATGGGGATCTGCGGTGGGGCACAATAAGGAGCCACGATGGAGGACACGATGGGGGGCGTGAGAGACATTCGATAGAACCCTTCACCCTTGCGACAGAAGACCCTAAACGAGCCTTACACAGTTCACGATGGGGGTCACCATGGGATGGGGAGCTACGGTAGGGCACAATAAGGGGCCACGATGGAGGACACGATGGGGGGCGTGAGAGACATTCGAATGAACCCTTACAGACAAGGTGTTGAAGGAAAAACTGTCGGAGGTCCAGACGGACTTCTCGGATCGGCGCTGGACCGTATTCTCTGGTGCGCGGAGCGCGCCAGGGCCTGCCCGATCTGCGCAGCCCGTCAGCCTGTGCAGCACGACTGCTCCTGCTCGCAGCACCAGCGCAGCTTCTCGGGCGACCAGCCCTCCGCGCAGCTGGACTGGCCGGACGTGCAGTCGAAGGGGGCTTCGTCGGCCTCTGAGCATCGTTCAGCCGACCTCCATCCCCACTGGCATGGCCTTGACCCCACTGGCCGGCTTACCATCCTGGGTGGGGATATCTGCTGTTTCCTTCGGATTGCGCGGGACCAGTCCCCACCTGGGAGGGTGGGCTGGTGGGGCTTGGATACCATGGCCCAGTGGGGATGGGGATCGGTTAGACGACGCTGAGCCTCGCCCCCGCTCGAGTCTGCGCTGCGGTCGCAGCCCCTCTGCGCCTGCTCGCAGCACCACCGCTTCTGGTCCGCCGTCCAGGCATCCTGCCACTCGGACCACCCGGCCTCGCAGTCGAAGAGGGGGTCGAGGTAGCCGCGAGATCTTCTGAGCAGCTCTCTCCCCGTGTCCTGGGGGGGCGCACTCTGCGCGTCGGGGCTGGGGTGTGTGGCACCACGGCCTGTGGCGTCATGTCTTGTGGCAACCTACGCAGAGGGGGGGGGGGGGGGGGGGCACATCTCGAACGGTCTGGGCAGCGTTTGTCGTGTAGGTCGTCTCTCCAGACGTTGGTCGAACAGAGGAAACAATTATCCTGGCGAGGGGCCCAACCACGTGCGGGTGTGAGCACCGCAAGACAAGTGGAAACTAAAGGAAGGGCCTAGCAAAAGGACAAGGGCGCGCGTGGGAAGGCGTGGGAAGGACGGAGCAACGTTGCCGGTGGGGTCGCAAAGGACAATCATTACGTGTTGCATCTGGATGTAATCCGTTACAGGTGGTCTGTGTGAAAGTCGGCACGGCCCTGGGGGGCAGAAGGCGGCGAGGCCTTTGGTGGAGCCCCTATGGGGCCACGAAGCGTGGGAGGAGTGTGCAGAAATGGGCGCGTTCACGCATGAGAGTCCTGCCACTGGGGCCTTCGGTGGGGCCCCATGTGGGGCGACGAAATGTGTGAGAGGTGCGCCGACATGGGCGCGCTCACGCATGCGAGACCTGCCACTGGGGCCTTCGGAGGAGCGCAATACAGGGCGACAAAGCGTGTGAGGGGTATGCCGAAATGGGCGCGCTCACGCATGCGATTCCTGCAACGGGGCCTTCGGTGGAGCCCCCGTATTGGGCCACGAAGCGTGTGGACCAGGTATGCGAACGCAGCCACTGGGGCCTTCGGTGGAGCCCCCATATGGGGCCGCGAATCTTGTGAGGGGTGCGCCGAAATTGCGTGGATAAGGCATGCAAACGCAGCCTCTGGGACCTTTGATGGAGCTCCCGATGGGGCCGCGAAACGCGTGAGGGGTACGCCGACGAGGTGTGGAGAAGGTATGCAAACGCAGCCTGGACTTCAGTAAAGCTCCCTGTGGGGCCACGGAGCGCAAGAGTGAGCTAAAATGGTACGGAGAAGGCACGCAAACGCAGCCACTGGGGCTCTGAGTGGAGCTCCCTATGGGGCCACGAGACGTGTGAGGGGTGCGCCGAAATTGCGCGGACCAGGTATGCGAAGGCGGCCACTGGAGCCTTCGGTGGAGCTCCCCATGGGGCCACGAAACGTGTGAGGGGTGCGCCGACATGGTGTGGCCCATGTATGCGAACCCAGCCACTGGGGCATTCGGCGGGGCTCCCTATGGGGCCGCGAATGCGCCGAAATTGTGCGGACCAGGTATGTGAACGCAGCCACTGGGGTCTTGGGTGGAGCTCCCTATGCCGAAATTAACATGCGTAACGCGGCAGCAAGAGCAGGAGGAGGGAGGAGGGGGGAGCGAGGAGGGGCAAGATGGCCGGGAAAGCCGCGTCAACATGAACGCTCGGAGATCCGCGCGGATCTCTCGGATCAGCGCTAGACCGCCTTTCCTGGCGGCGCAAGGCGCGCCAGGAGCGGCGCCAGCGGCGCCGCCAGGGGGGTGCACCACCGACCGAGGAAATCCGCGCGGACCTAAGAAAAAGGTGCCGCAAACAACGCCTGCACTCAGGAGCTCGTACCTACGATCTTGAACAATTGGACTGGTGTCGGGGTCTGGAGGTGCCCGCCCGGGGCCGTCCTTAGGGCGCCTTGTGGCCGCCCCGTGCGCCGGGTGTGCTTGGCTGGGGTTCGCCTGGTGCCCGCTCTTGGCAGCCCGTGGGCACCTCGTGGCCGCCACGGCCCGTTCGCTGGGCGCACCAGGGGGCACACAGCCAGCACCACGTGGACTGCATCACATCCGCCACCGCGCCACTGGGCACGGAGTGGGCGGGTCCTCGGGTCCTTTGCCCAATCCCTGAAGCCTCTGTCCTCCTGCCTGAGGAGTCTGTAAGGGGGCCAGGCCCAGAATTCACAAATCTCCTGGGGTCTGCTGCGTGCTCCCTGGGCTCCGGGACGGCTTTCCGCATGACTGGTTTCGGATCCAAGAATGCCCTAAGACGGACCAAGAGGACCCCAAGAGGCCCCCAAGACCGTGCAAGAAGGCCCTGAGATTTATAAAGATCGCACCCAGACGCTCAACATGGTCCCAAGACGGCCCAAGAAGCCCCCGAGACGCCCCAAGAGAGCCCCAAGAGCCTTCCCAAAAGGGCCCCGAGATGCCAAAATCATGGTTTCTTTGTTTTTACCTGATTTGGGGGTCCTCGACTTTTCCAGCTCCCGACGCTCCAAGACGGCCAAAGAGGCCCCCAGGACCGCCCCAAGACGGCCCAAGAGGCCCCAGGATGGCCCCAACACGGCCCAAGACGGCCCCAAGAGGACCCAAAAACAGCCCCAAGAGTGCCCAAAAGGGAGAAAGGAGTAACACGAACCGAGTCTTCTGCCCAAAGAGGAGGCCCCAAAGAGGCCCCAAGAGGCCCCCAAGAGGTCCCAAGAGACCCGCAAAATATGCCCTTTAGACGCCTCAAGAGGCTTCAAAATGGCCCCCAGGAGGCTTCAAAACAGCCCCCAAGAGGCCACCGAGAGGCTTCCCGCGACATCCAAACGAACATCCTAGAGTCCTATGGCCCGCAACCCAGGCACGGTGGCGGGAAGGGCCGAAGGCTATTTGATAGCTTGCGTCACTAGCTGGCACGTGTGCCACATAATTGCACCACATAGCTTGCAGAACATACCATTCACATGCAGAGTGCAATAGTGGACCGATCGGGGTCCACGCTATCAAGCATATGCTTATGTTTATGCCGACATGATCTTCGATGGCCGATTACTCTGCAGCCTAGGCCCATGCCAGTTGTCGTGGTGCGTTCGTGGTCGGAGCGGAAAACCCTTGCCCTGATCGGGCTTCCTGGACACAGGGCGTAGGGGGGGCACCGCCGCGGCTTTCCCATGCAGCCCCGCAAAGTCCAGTCAGCAAGCATCCTGGCCCCAGCAGGGGGAGGAAGGGAGATTGCAGGCTCGCACAAGCAAGGGCTGGGCGAGGGGGGCGGCCTTCTTAGAAGCACACCCCCTCACCCCGCCGACGATAGGCGAAGGGGAACTGGAAGAGGACGAGATGAGGTAAAGCCCCTGCGACGCCGACGGCGACGAGAGGCCAAGGCCGAGCGGGCGCTCCGCGCGCGGCACTGGGGCGGCACCGCTGGCGGCGCCGACGAAAGGCAGCCGCGCAGCCAGCAGCGGCAGCCAGCACAGGGCCGCCCACGGGCAGCCGCTGATGACGAAAGAACAACACACTCCCATACCCATGGGGGGGACGGAGGGGGCGATGGGCGCGTGTTATCGGACGGGGGTCCCCGCTCGAACGGGAGCCTCCCCAGAGGTCCGACAGCCCGCAACCATACCATAGCCAGGCCTCCTCCCTCCGACCCCCGTATGGGTACGGTACGGGTGTGGGTTGTTCGCTCGTCAGCTGGGGACCAGGCCCATGGCGGCTGGCCAGGCGCGCCGGAGGCGCGCGGGGCCCGACGCCGCCAGAAGCGGCACCTGGCTGTGAGCCGGGTCAATGGCGGCTAGCGGCGCGCGCCAGAGGCGCGCGGGGGCCCAGGGGCGGCCCAGATCTGGTGGAATCGGAATCGGGGGACGCCAACCGAGCACCTCACCGATCCTGGCCAGCGTCGGTGAGGCTGTCAGTCGACGCTCCCCGAATGGCGGCTGGCCAGGCGCGCCAGGGGCGCGCGGGGCCCAGAGTTGGCCCCGCTCTGGTGGCGTCTGCAGACCGCTAAGGTCATTACAAGACATCGCCGCACCTGCGTTGCCAAGGTCACGCTACGGTTGCCGCCAGCGCGGCAGACCACGTCTAAGCAAGGGCGCATACGCGCGACCTTGCGATGGCAGCGTACGCTCGAGGGTCTGAGCAGTCCACCACCGCGTGCGTCAGGTCGCTCAGGTGGGCCGACCAGCCGTCCAGGCGAATGCGGGGCCCGAGCGTGCCCAAGACCAGCCCAAGATGGCCCTGGCATCCCTCCGCATGGACCTCGTTGTCTGGCTTTCGGGTCATAGCTCGGGTCTCCAACGACCATTTCGGTACGATTCGGGCACTCCCGGAACGCTCTCGGCGAGGCGCAGCTGCTGGAAAGCATCTGGAGGCTGCCGAGTACCTCCAGCCCACGAAGCGGCCAGAAGACTCCGACGGGGCACCAGAGAGGCCAACGAGAGACCTCCAGAGAGGCCACCCACACGGCTCCGCCGCGACGGCGCCTCGCGTGCGCCCACGGCGGAGACACCGGCGCGAGAGCCTCGCCGTCGTCGAGGCCGTCGCCGTCGTTGCCCCCCCCCCCCGAGGCCGTAGATGACAAAGATGTTGCCGTTGTCGGGGGTGTGGTGCGAGAAGGCGCCCCAGCCAGTCTTACCGACCTCGTGCGGCGTGGCAGCGGGGGGGGACTGGGGCAAAAGTCGGCGAGGGCGGCGAAGACGACTGGAAGGACAAGGATGGGGGGGAGAAGAGGGAGCAACGGCGAAGAAGCGGGGAAGGGGTACGGGAGGGTGCTGGAGGAGGGTCCCGGGTCGAGGGCTGAGGCTTTGGACGTGTCCCTGTCTGGGCCTCCAGGGGCCTCCTGGGGACCTCTGGAGGCCTCGCGGAGGGCTTTGAGGAGGAGGAGAAGGAGGAGGAGCAGGAGGAGGAGGAGGAAGACAACGAGGATGAGCAGGATGAGCAGCAGCAGCTCCCGCTCGACGGCTGCTGGGCGGCTCAGATGCGCATCGGCAGCACGTAGCCCTTCTCCTTCTCCGCGCCGGACAGGGCCATGGCGGACCGCCACACGGCCAGCATCGAGCGCAGCACGGCCATGGCCGCCGCCGCGAGCACCACCCACAGCGCCAGGCCGCTCCGGGCGCTGCGGACAGGCCTGGGCGCCTCGTGCACGGGAAGCACCTCCTCGTCGCTCCAGGCCGTGGGCGCCACGGGCACCTCGGCCTCGCCGTCGTCCGCCTCCACGTGCCTGTGCCGCTCCTCGCGCGAGGCCGTCGCCCTGCCTCCGGCCCAGTGGCCCGGGGTGCTGGCGGCGGCATCCTCGAGGACGTGAGGGTAGGGGCACTCGGCGGGGAAGGCGCGGTGCAGGAACTCGGCGAAGAGCCGGCCGTGCAGGGGCACCTGCCCGCCGCTGCGGCCGGCGATCTCGCGCAGCCGCGACGCCGCGGCGGCCTGCGGCAGCAGCATCTCGGCCGAGGCCGTGGAGAGGTTGCCGATCACCGCCAGCAGGTGCTCTGGTTCGGCGGCGGGCGCCCGGATCTTGCCCTCCAGCTCGTTCATCATGCCCTCGCAGTCGCTGAGGCAGCACACCGAGTAGTACGTCGACCTGGCGATGCAGTTGGAGGGCCCGGCCATGTAGTTCGCTATGCGGACGCTGCCCGTGGACTCGTCGAGCGCGCCGACCGTGCGCAGGTACTCGACGGACTCGGTGAACTGGTAGTCGGCCGTCGGCGGCTGGGAGTAGAAGACCTTGAGCGGCACGTGGCCCGACCCGTCGGGGTCCAGGCTCACGAGCTCCTCCTTCATCTGGCGGCACTCCATGTTCTGCCACATGCCGTAGTCCTGCGCGAGGCCCTCGACGATCCGCGACGCCTCTCCGAAGCCGTACGTCCTCTCCACGAAGGGATTCGTCCGGTGGCGGCTCTCGAAGTCGTGGTTCCGCACCGCGTCGGCCCCGAATGCTGCGAGCACCGGCCACTTGCCACCCGCACTGGTCACGGCGTTCTTGATGGCCCGGTGCCGCTGCACGTCCGTGCCGTTGCCGTGGGTGCCCAGCTCGAAGATGAGGAGGTACGAGGACAAGACCTGGTGCAGGGCGCGGGCGTCGATCTTGTCCGCCACGGTGTGCTCGTTCAGCACGTACGCAGTCTGGAGCAGGTCCAGCGATTCGTTCACGATCAGCCTCTCCAGCGCCGCGGCCATCGCCACGACGTCGTCCAGCGACAGCCCGTGCCCGGCGCGGCGTGCCTCGAGGAGCGCCTCCACGAACGCGGGGGCCTTGTCCTGCAGGATGTCGACCTCGTGCACTTCCGACACGTTCTGCTGCATGCCGTGGTGCTCGAGGCCGTTGATGAGCCAGCCGTGCTCCTTGGCAAAGTAGCTGTGTATAATGTGGCGCACTGCCCGCGGCCCCAGCCGCCCCGCCGAGTTCTTGGGAAGCGCCTGGTAGGTCTGCCACATGCTGGCCTCGATGCGCCCGAGGCGGCTGGACGCGGCGGCGCCGCCACCGAAGACCTCCTCGAGGGCGCCGGAGAGGCTAGACTCGACATCCTTGGTGGACACCATGCGGTCGGACTGCTCTGCGCCGCGGACGGCTGCACTGCCTCGCATCCTGCCCGGCGCGGCGGTGCACGGGGCAGCGTGCAGCACGAGGGCCACGGCGAGGGCGATGGTCACGGTGCGGGGCGCCATGTTCGCGAGTTGCGACTAAGGAGTGAGCTTGAGAAGCTGGAAGTACAACTCCACCACAGGATGGAGACGGGCCTGCTATCTTTAGGGAACGCTGGGTATCTGGAACGGCTGCGGAATGAGGACGAGGAGAGGGAGCAAGCTCACTCCGAGGAGCGACTACGTATTGTTGATGCCCCGTCCAGGGCGCCCTGTGCCTCCTTGGTCGGGATGCGTCCCTCGACCCTCGCACCAAGTGTTCTGTTCCGACCCCCGACCTACAGCGGAGCCCCAAATCCCACCAGCCCTTTTGGTGCAGGTGGGTTCAATTGTCTCCAACCTCCTCCTTCCCCTTACACCCTCTCCCTGGGTCTGGAGGCGGGGTTTCACCAGAAGGCCACCAAGAGGGCCCCAGGAGAGCTCCAGAGAGCCCCACGAGGGCCCCCATAGAGCCCAAAAGGCTTACAAAATGGCCCTAGGATGGCTCCAAGAGGCCAAATTCCACAAGTAATGGCCGCCTTGCCTCCCTACGTGGGAATGTACGCCTCTACTCTGAAGAACTCCTGGACATCGCTTCTGGGTGGCCAGGTGGAGATACGCAAGGCGCCAAGAATTCTGGTGTGCCTCACTGAGCATGAACCCCAAAAACCTTCATCGTTTCAATATTATGCGCCTCGGGCATCTGACCCACTACAATCATGAATGTTTCGAGGATGCCGCATCTCAGCATGTCAGAAGGTCTTAAGTGTTGCAGGGCTCTGCCTCCCTCCTCCCCCCTCCTGTTGCTTCTTCCCCTTTTTCTCCTCATCTTTGGCCTCCTTCATCATCTCGTCCTCTTCCTGCTCCTCCTCCTCCTCCTCCTCCTCCTCCTACTCCTCTTCCTCCTGCTCCTGCTCCTGCTCCTCATCCTAATCCTCATCCTCTCCTCCTCCTCCTCCTCCTCCTCCTCCTCCTCCTCCTCCTCATCATCATCATCATCATCATCATCATCATCATCATCATCATCATCATCATCATCATCATCATCATCATCAGCAGCAGCATCAGCATCCTTATCGTCAACCTCCTCCTCCTCCTCCTCATCATCATCATCATCCTCATCATCATCATCATCATCATCATCATCATCATCATACTCATCATCTTCATCATCATCAGCAGCATCATCATCAGTATCATCATCATCCTCAGCATCATCAGCAGCATCAGCATCACCATCGTCACCATCACCACCATCACCGTCACCATCACCATCACCGTCACCATTATCCTCCTCATCATCATCACCATCATCTTCATCAGCATCATCATCGCCATGCTCCCCATTATCATCATTAACATCATCACCATCATCGGCAGCATCACCATCGTTATCGTCATCATGATCAAGGGCAACATCATTTACATCGTCGTTATCATCGTCAACGTCGTCACCACCATCATCATCAACATCATCAACATCATAATTATCATCATTTGCATCATCCGCTAAATCATGAGCATCAGCAGCAGCTCATCATCTTCAGCAGCCGCATCATCATCACCATCACCGTCAGCATCAGCATCATCATCATCATCATCATCATCATCATCATCATCAGCATCATCATCCTCATCCTCATCGTCATCATCAGCATTATCATCAGCATCATTGCAAGCATCCTCAACAACGTCACCATCATGAACACCACAACCACCACCACTACCACCTCTACCATCGCACCATCAGATCATATCATACGCATCCACCATCATCGTGAGTAACAGCAGCATCATCGTCGTCGTCATTGCCGTCATCATCATCTTCAGCATCGTCATCAGCAGCAACAGCGACAGCAGCATCATCATCAGCATCTGAGACATCTGAATCATGTGAAACACCATCATCATCAGCATCGGCGTCACCATCATCATCAACACAATCAGCATCGTAATCATCATCATCAGCATCATCATCACCCTCATCCTCATCCTCATCATCGTCACCGTCATCGTTATCGTCATCGTCATCGGCATCATCATCAGCATCAGGATCAGCATCCTCACCAGCCTCATCCTCATCAGCAGCAACATCAGCATCACCATCGCGGTCGTCATCATCAGCAACAACAGCATCACCACCACCACCAGCATCATCATATCATCATCATCATCATCATCATCATCATCATCATCATCATCATCACCACCACAATCATGATAACCATCCGCCGCATCAACCTCACCATCTCCATCCTCAGCATCATCATCATCATCATGATCACCATCATCAGCAGCATCATCATCGTCGTCGTTGTCGCCGTCGTCATCGACGTCGTCCTTATCATCGTCATCATCAGTAGCGATGGCATCATCATCATTATCATCATCGCCATCACCATCACCATCACCACCACCACCACCATCAGCTTCAGCGCCAGCAGCAGCATCACCACCATCATCATCACAACCACCACCATCACCATCATCATCATCATCATCATCCTCATCATCAGCATCATAAACATCAACATCAACATCATCAGAATCATCAGCATCATCATCAATGCCATCATCATAACTATCATCATCAGCAGCAGCATCAACATAATCATCATCATAATCATCATCATCATCAGCATCATCATCTGAGTGGATCGGGGGTGGCCTTACCTGCTGCATCAGAAAGGCGCCATCACGGGCATGAGCTCCCGAGTTGCGAGGTGCCGCCGCTGGCGGGCACAGAAACGCGGAGGCGGCAGTCATGGCAGAGGTGGAGCGAGAAGATGGCAAACGCGGATGAATATATCCTCATCCTCATCCTCATCCTCCTACTCCTACTCCTTCTCCTCCTCCTCCTTCACCATTCCCGCTTTCCCCCCCGTCTTGACAACGATGAGGAGCAGGAGGAGGAAGACAACGAGGATGAGCAGGATGAGCAGCAGCAGCTCCCGCTCGACGGCTGCTGGGCG